GAATAGGAATAGGCAACCTGATCAGAGGACGTGCTCGTCGCCTGGTTGAGGGCCTATCTATAGGCGTGATCATCGAATAATTACAATGGGTGTTTTGGTCGATTGTCATAAACAGTGACACTCGTGCATCTGTTATCTTTCTAAGTAAATGTAGTTTACTTCCACTAGATGTCTTTTAGATTTCCTTCTCATTGCTGGTCCACAAAACGGGTAGCCCTCCATGTATTTGAATAAATTCGCCCAGAGAATAAGGTTCTATCCATACTCTTTGTTCAAGGGCAGGTTCTTGGATCCATATCCAATTATAGAGTCTGTCGTTGAAGTAACTAAATTTTGACCTTTCCAAAACAAACTAAACCGTTCTACAGTAGATTATTTGCCTTCCATTGCCTCGTGGTAATTACCTAGCCCCAAACCATTGTGTAACACCGGTGTTTAGCTCGCTCTTTAATTTCTTGGGAGTACAGAATGGCTGCCCTCTCTGGGCATACATATTCCGACATCCCATTTTCTTATTTTACCATCTGCAGTTAAGTAACATTAAACCCTATCAGGTACCGTCGATTCCGTAGCAGAAGTCTTTATTCATGTTGAAAATTTATCCGGTCTTTGTGCGAACGTCGGATCTCGTTAATTATACAATTAAGGTCATCAACCTATCGCCTCAAAGGTCTGGTGTTCGAGTCTCACCACCGCCTGCTGACTTTTCCCTCTGGGAGTCCCCACACAGCACCTGAGGGCTGCAACCCTGAAAGCTGCTGCACAATTTTGTGTTCAATAAAGAGAAGTAAAAGCATTAATATTACCCACACTTTATTTCACTGACGTTGCTCTTTCATAACGGTCGAATAATTGTGACTGGTTTAAATATTGCAAATAAGTTTTTGTTTGGTCTCCCAGTTTGATATAATTAATGATCCACCATGACCAGCGAAAATCGGTTTCAGAAAATCGCTGTCCGAATTTACTCATGATCTATAACCGCTCGGGCATCGATATGTTATCCAAATACCCCCGAGGTGACTGTTGTGTGTAGTTCGGTTTTGGGCTGACCTTCGGTGACCCTCACATCCGAATAAACCAATATTTGATAAACAACATGCCTTTCACTGATTCCTCCGCTGCCCGACTAATCGCAGTTGTATGTGTAACATCAGGGTGAGAGTGAGGACACCCAGGGACAGACACCGGATGCTTCGTCATGGTTCACACACCACGAAGGCCAGAGCGAGACGATGTGGTTGGTGGTCGAGTACGTGTAGTCAGAGCATGTATTGTTTTTCCAGTTCCGAACACAATTGGGTGAAGTATGGATCATTGAAAACCGTGATTCGTGTTCCCTATGTGCATATGACTGAAGAGGCGCTGCAATCGTGACTGAGAGGACTGTAAAAGTGTTTCTAATATCGGTTTGCTTCATATACTTATACACCACGTGGTTAATTTCCTTATTTTAGTGTATCAACTTATTGTGTAGGGAGTCATTTTTATCGTTATAGTGTGGCATCTGGCGTGGTCTGATTCAATAGTGATAGAGGAAAATAGTAAAAGAATGGGCTCGCATTTTTTGTCCTCACTGTTCGATTTCAAGTTGAAAGAAATGACACCATTAATAGAGGACAGACTATCATCTTTACCTTCACTTCATGCACACACCTCGTGTAGCGAAGTACGTGTATATCGTAGTAGATTGGGCTCATGAGTGATTAAAGATTGATTGATTTGATTATCCCGCACACACTACTCACAAGTAATTGTGAGTCAAATGCGATGATTAAAGATAATTCAAATTCTAACGTTTTGGCGGATAATAGAGTGACTGACTCATGTTTGGATTGTGAAAATATGAAGGACCCCGGTGAATAAATCAAATGCATAAACGATTTGATGTTTGTTTTGTAACAGACGTTATGATAATATAATTTACTTGAGCATCCACGAATCCTCTGCAAAATTGCATACATATACACGCGAACACAAGTGCAGGCAGGCATAATCCATATTTTTCCTGTTTCCCTGACCGATGTGATTTGGTGACCGACAAAAGAGTTTTGTATTTAGCTGGTGAATGATGCACCGGAAACTGGCTTGTTTGCCTAATCGACTTGTTGAATGTTAGTTGTTGTTAATGAGACGGAGGAACTCAGTTCGGCGCGGTCATCCGGATTGACGAGTTTCCCTATCATCTGTACATCAAACCAAGTAGTTTCTTTGCAGATATTTCACCACAGCCCAGATACTAAATACAAAATTAGTTGTAACAACTGCCACCAGTATGATGTCGAGCAATATAGAAAAAGTGTTTCCTAACATGAATCCGTGATTATTAACTGTGGTTGTTGTCATGATCAGAAGTCACTCATTTTCATACACATGTTTACAACAGTTTTACTTTTAGCCTGAAACGATTTTACGTACTGATTTCACGCTCAAGCGTGATTCCATCTTTGAATTTGACATCCACCACGCCCCACGAAAAATGGCAAAAGTAGATGGCACTGAACGAAAGCGCTTCAATTGTGATTCCATTGTCAATACGTCCTGGAATGAAAATGGGCTTACGGAAGCCAAACAGTAAACGCCAAGCAATCAACCCTAGCTACATGTGAACCATCACGACGAAACTGCACCTTGACGTGGTGTGGTGGCTTGTGCACCTCTCTGACCCAACGA